CACACACACACACGCGCGCGCATGGGAGAAAAGGGAGAGAATACAGTATGTTCCATGACATTCTCGTGAGCTGAGGTAAAGAACCCAACTTTGTCCCTAGCAGACCTTGGAGCTCTCATTATAAAGCACAATCATGGGATTTGGAAGACCAGGCAAAGATCTTTCACAATGACGTGAAGATTACATGTATCTTTAATGTTTCCTTTTTTCCTTTAATTTTTAAAAATGAAGCTTTAATTTATGTCTCCATCGCCTAACTTACATCATTCAGAAGGCAGCCTTCGACCTTGCCTGACAGTCACAATCCGGGCAGCCCGATCTAAATAACTGTCAAATAAACAATATTATTACAATTACAATATATATGGTGCTCATATGACCTTATGCAGTTGCGAGCACCTTAAAACCTCTACTAAAACTAAACTAAAACTAAACTAAAATTACAATATATTATTATGTACAAGTTTGATCCCTTCAAAGTAGTCATCCATGGTTAAGTTGGTGTGGCTTACATCCACAACCTGTTTCAGTTGCATGCTCCTCTTAAACTCATTAAGAACCTAACGGCCACCTATTGTTACCTCAGAATTACACAGTTTTGTTGACATTTTTGGCCGTTTTGAGTTACTAAGACCATGGGGTCGGTCCTACCTGCTATATCAAAAAGATAAAATTATTAGTAGTCGTTATAAAGATATTCAAAGAATTGCACCCGGAAAGGCTTGGCGTGTAAAACTCAAAATCTTTTACGCCAAATTTATCAAAACTAGGTACTGAGGACTGAGGACTGAGGAGACATAACTTTCGTAACTCTGAGGTAACGCTTTGTACCGCCAGCAGCAGACCAAAGACAATATTGAGGCACATTTCAAACCATCATCATACACAAATCAGGAACATTAATTTGCGTATTTCATAGTATACCCTGGTAGTGTACCCTGGTGGTGTCGGTCGCCTAGTGGTTAGGCTAACGGACTCGTAATCGTGAGATCCGACGTTGTGTCTTTGGGAAGGCACAGTGCACGAATTACTTGGCTCTGTTCTTTCGGAGATGGGCGTTAAACTCGGAGGCCCCACCTCTTAAATAACATATAATAGTGTTGATAGGGACGTTAAACCCGTACCATTTCAGCATTTTCACCATAGTATATCATGTTGTTTTTGCTTGCTATTTTGACTTTCAGATAAAGAAAACCTGATAGAAAATTCTGTAGGAATAACAAAGTTATGCTCCGAAATAGCACATCTTCCAGCGCTGTCGAACAACGAGAGTGTACGTTCTCTATGAGTTAAAAGTTAAACCTCGCGAGTAGGAAAATTTGTCTCTCACTGACAGAATAGATGCTCCCTGACACTTCGCTACCGCAGAATTACACAGTTCTATCTGACATTTTTGGCCGTTTTGAGTAA